CCAGTTACGTGATGTGTCTGCTGCATAGATACGTTTTTAACCATTTACTAACAGTTTGGGTGAGCATAAACCCGCTTTTGGCATTAAAAAACGACTGTCAGGCTTTACTAAAGACATACAGTGAAAATATAGCAGTGAAAAGATAATTTTTTTTTTTTTTTGCGGATGATCTTATTGTATATGCATTTGTAGGAGTTTCCATTTCAGATGCAACATTTATGGGAGGAGAGTATTTAAATAAATAATGCAATGTGATTTACTAAGATTTGCAGTAGTCCGTTTGCTGGTATTTGCACCATTAGTTAACACACACACACACACACACAAAAGCCCGTCTTAACCCATTCTGCACCTGTGTTAGTAGATCACATGCACCTGATTATCATCAGCTCTGCTTGTTTGCGCTGCTCCTGGTAGATTGTGTTGGGCATTATGGAAATGATCTGGCTGTGTTTGTGTTCTATAATTTGCATGTTGTCAGTAGATCTGGTGCAGAACATTTATGGGATTGCACTTTCACACTAATTTGTCCTGTTTAGTAAATCTGGCCCTTATTATGAGCAGTAGTTAGTTTTTCTAACATTAGCAAGCACCGTGAAATTTTGACTTGAAAATAAAGGCTCTTCATTGGCATTGATGGTTCCATGAAGAACCTTAAACATCCATGGAACTTTTTCATTCCACAAAAGGTTCTTTATAGTGGAAAAGGTTTCATTAGATCATTAAAATGTTCTTCACACTGAGAAAAAAAAGTGGTTATTTTAAGAACTGCTCACTGAAAGGTTCTTTGGGGAACCAAACATGGTGGTTCTCTATCTATGGAGTCACTGCAAGATTCCCTTTTAGAACCTTTATCTTTAGGAGTGTAGTTTTGCTACATAGTTTTGTGTCTCCTGTAGTTTATTAAAGCTACACAATGTAACTTATTTTTATTAAAAAAAAAATAATAATTGAGAGAATGCAAAAAAAGAAAACATCTTCCAAACCATATCTTTACCCAAACACACTTTGATAAACCTAGTCATGCCGTATTTCATTTTTGACAGGAATGAAAAGGCTGTGAGGAATAGACGTAGGCCTACAGTAAATTCAATGGATTGTACTGTTTAAATAACAGAGGCCCACCGATTGTTAAGCTTTCTGGAGAAAAAAAAAAAGTAGACAACTCCATAAATAGATTTGTGAAAATTACAGGCTCGTTTTCATCTGCGTTACATTTAATATGGCATCTAACCTGAAGGTTTATAACAATGATTTCTATTTTAGAACTGTCAGGACGGATTTCGCGGGAAATTGTACAACGAGTGAGATAAACTGACCATGGATCATTCAAAACGACAAACCTCTGGGTAATCACCGGTTATTAAAACAAAACGAACCCGTTATTTATTTAATATGTCCTGAGGTGTCCTGTATCACCGGTGCCTCGAACCAAATTCATCCGTGAAGAGTCCAAGCACAACCAATACCACTAGATGCGTGCAGTTTTATTTTTGACCACTAGATGGGACAAAAGTTACACAGTGTAGCTTTAGTACACTGTAAAAAATTACCGTGAATTTAACGGTAAAAGACTGTAAAAATGCTACAGTAAAAACCTGTTAAA